CTGGGCCTTGACGCCCGTCTGCTCTGGCAGGATGGGCTCATTTTTGGGAGGCTCGGGGGCCGTGGGCTTGGGCACAGGTGTTTCATTGCTGGAGCTTTCTGTGTCATTTAACCTGTCAGAGGGATACATTTTATATTGTACTACATAAAATCTTACTATATTTTACTATAATATTTTACTTCATAATACAAATATACATCTCTGTGACAAAAATTGGCCCAATTTATCTAATGAAAATATATCAAATCATTCACAGACAGACAGACAGATAGACAGATAGAATTTCTAAATGCTAGATTATGCCGATCATTAAGTAGCACACAAACAGGCAGAAGAATAATCATATTCACGCCATAAATTAATATATAAGCCTATAACTGTAGACAAGTGTACACTGTGGCTGTATCGTGGTACAGTGATGGCATCAGGCAGTAATACCATGGTATTTTGATATATACTGCAATACTGGGTGGTTGCTATATACATGTGCAGGGAAAAAAGTAAAACTTAGCAGTACTACGACATCTTTTGTTCGAACATAGTGATAGTGTTGACTAACATATGTTATTAAATATATTCGTCACTGTACGCCACTTCACAGCTGTCAATCAATCACTCACTCACTCTTTCTGCTGTTAAACTGCAAAAATAATACCTGATCAGCTGCTCTCCGTGCCCATCAGCAGTATTCTCATCCTGTAAATCAATGACAGCATTATTATTGGCAGATTCTTCATCGTTGTTACTGTGTGTCTGATCATCTGCGGCCGCAAACCGCCTGAGATCAGCCGTCAATATAACGAATAACACAGCGATCACAGCAGCGCGATTCCTGAAACTCATCGTGCTCATAAACACAAATAATCATTACACATACGGGGGAAAAAATACAAAATTAAACTACTCATGTCGCCACAATCCATGTTTCGCAGAGTAAATTCATCGTCATCATTACCCGGAAATCCAGGGAGATGTAGTTTCTGGGAGATGTAGATTTGTAGTTTCCCCCCTTCGGGTAATTTAACGTAGATAACGTAGATATCGTGTTTTGATATTTACATATATATTTATTTTCTTATAGTATCCACAAAATATATGCATTATGGTTGTAGAGAAGAAAATTGCAGTTTAAAAAAGGACGTGCTGACATCACATTAGAGTGATGGTTCCTGGGAGTTGTAGTTCATATAAGGTGGGCGTGTCTACAAGGCACAGTTCTGTGATGCATCAATTTGGAATGACATCCTGGTGAAAACACAGGCTGTCCACTTAGATAAAGGACTTTTTTTTTTTTACCTCTTGTCTGCATAAGTTGTGCAATCAATAGCTGTGTGGGTAAAAAAGTGGATCTCGTACTCTACCACATATAGTTTGCAGTAGTTCCACATTCACTGGTAAAACAATACATTGTTCTATTATAATCAGGATCGTTATTTCAAGTTTTTGTTTTTTTGTTTTTGAAGCTCTGTTCTATTCTATTGGCTGTGACAATTTTCATCAGGACTGAAGGATTAATTGCTCATTTGAATTTTAAGATCTTGAGCTGGACTTGTACTCTGAATAATATGCAAATGAAAAATCAATATCAAAAACACTTGAACGAGCTGTGTTCAACCAAGTCTCTGCCTTTCACACTCCAGTGGTTTGAGTCTTACCTATAAGATAGGACCTTCAAGGTATCTTGGAGAGGTGAGGTGTCCAAGTCACAACATCTAGCTACTGGGGTGCCTCAGGGCTCAGTTCTTGGACCACTTCTCTTCTCTGTTTACATGGCATCACTAGATTCTGTCATTCAGAAACATGGCTTTTCATATCACTGCTATGCTGATGACACTCAACTCTACCTCTCATTCCATCCTGATGATCCGACAAAAGCTGCTCAAATCTCAGCTTGTCTAACAGACATTTCTTGATGACATCAGGGGTTCAACCGTAATTTTACGAAGCTACAAGAATACTTTTTATACGCAAAGAAAACAAAAATAACGACTTTATTCAACAATTCGTCTCCTCCGCGTCACCCTGGTGCCATTTTGGAGAGTATCCACTTCCGAACATGAACGTAGGTCTTACGGGTTTAGTACGACATGAGGGTGCGTAATTAATGACAGAATTTTCATTTTTGGGTGAACTAACCCTTTAAGATAACATGTTAAAATAATATGGTAAGAAACACCTGTTTGCAATATCAAGCAGCAAAACCATCTGTTTTGTACAACTAAAAATAGCTGGAAGCGGATGAGACCGGACACATTAAATTTACAAATGGCTGCGCCCGCTCTTACTGGAAAAATAAGGTGGATAATATGGAGACACTGTCTGTTCGTTCACGCACATCTATCGGCTGTAATTCTGCCGCTCCAAAGGTGCCTCCTGCTGGCAGAGAATGAATTTACATTTTTAATAAGCCCTTGCTATTTTTTGTTCAACTAAAGCGAAAATTGACCCGTATTTTTAAGCATAAATCACGCAGAGTTGTAAATGTGAACTGGTGGATCGACATATTTATGTTACTAAATTGCCCTCATTTGCCTTCATCTGATAAATGACTAAATGTAAATATAAGTGAAAACCTGTATCTGAACTGTAAATCATGTTTTTACAGTCATTTTAAGGTTTAATATGTTACCATAGACATTGCTCTACTCCGCTCATATGGTATTAATTTGACTTGTGCAGGTCTTAAAAAGGTCTTTAAAAAAGTCTTAAATTTGATTTTACAAATCCTGCAGATACCCTGAACTGCCTGAACCACCTGAACGGCCCCAAACACTCCCGCTCTGAGGTCTCCTGGATTTTGGTACCCAAATGTTGACAGGTATATGCATTTAGAGTTCGGCAGGTTACATGCTTGCGCAGAGAGAGAGTGAAAAAGCAGACGTGGTAAATAATATTGCTATTTAAATATGACAGGCTCATAACTCTTAAGACATGGGAAATACAGTTGCAAATGGACTTTGCTTTTCCATTTGAAATGTGGCAGTCACTGTGCGTTCGCGAAAGCGAAAACGCAAACGGTGATGCAAGATTTGCAATTGCGTTTGGATTATGTCACTATTTATGCGTCCAGAGTTGTAAATGTGAACTGGTGGATCGACATATTTATGTTACTAAATTGCCCTCATTTGCCTTCATCTGATAAATGACTAAATGTAAATATAAATATAAATATAATTGATTGCTAATAATTGTTTGTGGCAGTCACTGTGCGTTCGCGAAAGCGAAAACGCAAACGGTGATGCAAGATTTGCAATTGCGTTTGGATTATGTCACTATTTATGCGTCCACATATCATATGGAAAACTCAATTGAAAATACAATTTGCCATTCATTTTGAAAATAGTCAGGAATAGGCTATCCTTCTGGACCATGAATGCAGCGTTACGTAATCAAGTAGTACAGTAAGTCATGTACAGTAATTTTCACACAGTTCCTCATTTACAGACGGTCCCTAAATATTGGCCTGCTACAAGTATGTGCGTAACGCACAATCCCATGCTCTTCCATTCATTACCAGCGCGCAGGAGGGTGTGTGTATGAGTGCGTGAGTGAGTGTGTGTTTGTGTGTGTGTGTGTGCGCGCGCGCTCTGTCCCTGACCAATACATACAGATACACGGGAGGAAGATGATGAGACTCTACTAGGACGAGTGGACCTTCTAGATTGGATACATTTCGGGATCGGACCTGAATCAGCGTGTTTGCGCTCGGACTCCCCATCTATTAACCGGACAAATATCTGCCGGCATATTGAAGAATATCTGCGCCTCTCTGTATAATGCCGACACATATGAGATTCCGGAGAAGGTCATTTCTCGGGCTTTTATTTCTCTTCTCGCTCTCCACTTCTGCACTGTACTTCATCTATTCAGCTCCTGGCATAGGTAAGCCACTGAGACATTTAGTTGTATAAGAATGAATAACATCTGTTCTGAATACATGTCTGTAGCCTAGTCTGCTTATTTAGGCGGGTCTGTTATATATAGTCAGCTTTGTCGTTGGACGCGACTAGTGAATGGCAATCATTGTTTTTGTTTTTAATTTATCATGTAGATAATACACGAGCGATCGGTTGTTTGTGTTTGGAGACCGCGTTCTGCTAAACTTCCCATCAAATCCATAGTTTACTGTGGTCAGCATGTATAGATGAAGACCTCCATTTCTAGAGGACACTTCATGTCTCCGGGCAAACAGCATAAACGAGCCTCTGACTGAAGTGCGCTTTGATTTTTTTTACTTTGTTTACAGAGCGTGTTCCAGTCGCATTATGAATTGTGCTAATATTATATCTTCGGCCTTTCCGGGACACACCGCACAGGTTTTGGTCAAGTCCCGCCCCCAAAGACGCGCCTTCCCGTCAGCGAAGTTACAGACTGCTTCGGTACTAATGAATATTTTATGAGGATATGCTGACGCTGTTAAAAACGATTAAATCGTGAATTTTAATACAGGTTATAGTAGGATTTGTAAATGTTGATTCGCGAAGAACTCTCCATTAGCTTTATTTAATTCCTAAATATTGCAACATCAAACATTTAGCCACAATATATTAGCCTACATGTCATGTAATGTTTAAGAGATTTGTTAATATACACAGGTATAATTATAAATGACATGAAACATAAACTGCATATTTTGAAAGCCATATGACTTAATCTACCCTGTAAAAATATGGAGGTGTAGAGTATATTAGGTATTAAAAAAAGGCCTAAAAAAGTGAGCGAGAATATAAAACAATATAACATTCTTAGTACTGAACATTGAGATAAAATTAGATGCTTTGCAAAGCTGTGGTCATGTCACAACAGATCAAGATCAAGTATTGCACCCTTAGAGAGGAACCTTGTGTGGTCAAGTGTATGTTTTTTATGTTGCCTTCTACATGATTTTGTTTTCTTAACTTTCCTTTATCATTTAGAGGCAACCCATTTCTCCGTTGTAGCCTTTGTCTGCATTGTTTCAGCTTATTGCTATGTACATTTGCTTAATTATTAATGAAGATGCTTTAAAAACCATTTTAGCTTCCTTCTGCCATGGGGGTTTCCTTTTATAGTAGGTATGTTTAAAAGAAGAACAAGGACCAGTAATTCTAGTGTGTTAATAATGAATGAAAAGTTATGCAGAAGTTGCATTTGTCCCAGATGGAGGTGACTGGCATGTGAAGGGAGTGAAACGGGAATGCCCTCTTCAGGAAGACATCTTTGTTCAAACACAGGGAAACAGGAAATGTCAAGTATAGTGTTTCTGGTAATTGTGGGGCATATTTCTGGCATTAAACATATGAGCTCTCCTTTGGAAACCAGTGAGTTTAGGTTATCTTCACCCAGAAAACAAAGTGGAGAATTCACAACTAAAAAAAAAAACGTAGTAGTTTGTGCGTTCTGGCTGTTGACTACTGTGATGGAAATCTAATCTTAAAGGGTTAGTTCACCCAAAAATGAAAATTCTGTCATAATTTGCTCACCATCATGTCATTCCAAACCCATAAGACTTCTATTAGTCTAAGGAATACAAATAAATATATATTTTAGTATTCTCTCATCATCGTCATATTATCAGCATACATACAAAGAGCACATCAAATATGGTAAACACAGAAGCTCAACTATACCTCCGTGAGAGGTGAGAACAAACCACACTGATTCTCGCAAAAGCTTACACATGAATGTGTGGCACACTAGAACAAACCTCATTGGTTCTCACACATCAGACTGAGCTTCCGGTTACCATATTTGATATGATCTGTATATGTTTGTTGATCAATATGTATATGTGAATTAAATCTGTTCATCATATAAAGTGACTGTGTTCAACCGCTGTGATTCATGTGGATTACTTTGTTGATGCCTTTATAAACTTCTGAAACTTGTTGCCTGGACTTTCAATGAATGGACAAAAATTATTAAAAGGAAATATTAAAAATATCTTTTATGGATGAATGAAAGTCTTCTGGGTTTGGAACTACATTTTCATTTTTGGATGAACTAACCTTTTACTTCATTTGGTAACACAAATTTGCAGATTTGAATGAGCTAGACTTTAGTAAGATTCCTCATCTTGTCAACCGTTATACACATTGGAAGTTTCAATCAAAACATTTGCTAATTGCAGATAAGAATTTTGCTTCATCAAACTCAAAAGTAATACTTCCCAAATTTGAGATCATCATGTTTATTACGTTAAGTCAGTCCAAAATCCTCTGCAAGGCAAAGGATAATGCATGTTGACTCTTTATAAATACTGTAGTGCATTTAAAGGAACATTGTACAAAAGTTTTTATTTTATAAAGACAATTACTATAATTTTTGGATGGAATATCCTTAAATTGTATTAGGCTATATAAATGTGCTCTCAAGTTTATTCAGATAAATACAGATAAATACAGCATATTGTATGGTGATTAATTCAATCACAATTTAAAACAGATATTAATTTTTCAAGATTTTAGGATTTGCTGAGAAAAGTACCCAAATGACGACAGTTCAAATTACATTATTGGCAGACAAAAGCTTTGAATAGACATTCTGTATTGTCACAAACATTCAAAACTATAAAACCATTCGGGATTTGGTTGTATGTTCTTGTCGACTGATTGTTGAGATATGGGCATGCAATCAAAAGTGGAGGCAGATGAATGTGAGCTGGACAGGACTGAATGATTGGAGATGTCCTGCATATGGCACTAGAGAAAAAATCAGTTGTTTCACAGGAAGATCCAGTTGTGACATTTTGATTAAACATTACATTGTTCACATAAATCGTTCATAATAAGATCTATAACATACATTTAGAAAAATATAGGGTGAATTTTATTGCATGCCAATATATCAGTGTTATATCGACTAGGTTGAGCGTTTTACCTTAGGGACAATGTCCAGAATTCAGTGTACCAGGAATTACAGTAGATGATCTTGACCTCAATTTGGTCAAAGACAAACAATAAGAGTATTGTGTGTCTCTATATTTATCTCAATGAGAAATGCAGTGGAACCATGGAGACACTTGTCTCGTGTCCCCATGGAAACAACAGCAGCAGCAGCAGCTCTATTACCCCTGAGAGGTATTTAATGCTTGTCAAGGGAATTAGGTTCGTAGGTCACTGAAACCTACAGTAAACCACTTACTGCTCATTTCACACACGCTGCAGCTCAGGGGAGGAATCGTGGGCCACAGATGTGTCCGATTTCTGCAGTTTATTGAATTAAACCAAGAGAAATCCTGCTGGAGCTGACTAGAACACAGATCCTATTTATAGAAGCGGACCCCATGAAAACCCAGGTACCACCGTTCGCCCTCTGAGCAAGCCACTGAACGCCAGACAGAAGACAAAAGAGGAAGAGGAACCGTCTTTCTGCAGGACTGCCTTCATTCCAATCCTGAATGTCCAGTTGAGGTTCAAAAAGGGTCAGATCTGGGGATTGAAGAAACGAAGGAATACATCTGACATAATCCTGATGTTCATGAAATCATTGTTGAAATTGTTGAGCAGTGTCTGTAATCCATGACAACGGGATTAGATCCAATGACTCCCACGAGATGGTGGTCCTATATGAGATTATGCCAAGCATCTTTGTTGATCCTGGGAAAACATTCAAACCACACAGATTGTTGGGTTAGAATTACGGTAAGGCTTTGGACAGGGGTTGGGGCTTATTTGTCTGTTTTTTCCCTTTGATTTTAGGGATAGTTAAAGGTTGGGGTTATTTGACAGAAATGTTCTTGATCTAGGAACACATCCCTGGAAAAAAATCAGTCATCTGGTCCACACCATAACAGATTCTTCTTTATGTTCAGAATATATGGTGACCTTTTGTCTGGTTGTATAAAGGTGATTCATCAAACCACATTTGTGTGTTCCACTGCACAGGATCTTGCACCAAATTATACGTTGGCCTTTTTAAATGACAAGCTACCATAATTTCCATGAAGAATGTCGTTCAGACTGACAGACTTGTGGTTATGTGCATACAGCATACAGGTACATTGGCTTGAAATTATTGCATGATCTTTATCATCATGTATGAATATCATTTCAAAAACAAGAAGAAAAAGACACAATGACTTACCGCATAAGTTTATTTTCTATGAATGGCACTTGCCAATGCAAAACTCACCACCGCTGTTTTTGAGTTGGCTTGAGAAGTTTCCCAAGATTTGTCAGTGTTTTCTGAGTGGTTTCTAAGTGAATGTTAAGGTGCTGCTGGGGAGTTTTTTTGTGATTGCTAAATGCATGCTTACTGACCCAAGTCAAACAGGCCCACTCCCATGACTCAATGGCATTCTGGCCTACACCAGGGGTCTTCAACCCTGCCTCTGAAGACCCACTGCAGAGTTCAGCTCCAACCTTAAGTGATACCTTACCTTACGTGGTAAACTAAAATTGTTACCTTAAAGAGCAGTTTTTACCTGATTTAACCCATACCAATTTGTTTTTTTTTGGTATAAATTAATGTACTTAGGTTGATTAAGTGACATCAAATAATATATTGTTATTTGAATAATTTGTTACTATTTTTTGGTGTATATTCAGGGGGAAAAAAGGGATTAGGAGTATGCATGCATGCGAGAAAGGTTAACGCTTTTGCAATCAAGTATGCGTGACTTTTGCTATTTTCCTCTTTTGACTTTGTAACCACATAGGTCACCACATGCATTGCACATTTAACACCACAATTCCCAAAAACCTACTTAAGTGAACCCTCATGGAGACACATGCAAATGCTGCAAAGCTACAAAGCACCCTTCAACCTAGAGTCGTGCAGAAACAGCATATGCTGAAATATTCATTCACGTCTTACATGTAGTGGCATGAGAGGACGTTTATAAGAGGACACAATGCAGAATCATACCAACCTCATCAATGAAGTCTATGACCAGCTCGACA